GGTGGGGCTGAGGGGTTCAGAGTGTGGGAGGGGGATCAACCCAGGGGTTGGGGTGCAGGAGGACCTGTGGGGTGTGGGCTCTGGGAGGCAGTGGGTTGGGGTACAAGAGGGGTCTCAAGGCTGGGGCAGGGAGTTGGGATGTGGGAAGGGGTACAGGTGTGGAAGGGGGCTCAGGGCTGGGGCAGGGAATTGGAGTGTGGGGGTTTGGGGGTTTGGACTCTGGCCAGGTGGCAGTTACCTCAGGCAGGTCCCAGAAGTGGCTGGCATGTCCAGCTCCTAGGCAGAGGGACCAAGGGTCTCTGTGCACTGCCCACACCTGCAGGCACCATCCCCGCAGCTCCCATTGGCCACGGTTACCAGCCTATGGGAGCTGCGGAGCTGATGTTCGGGGCAGGGACAATGTGCAGAGCCCCCGTGGCCACCCCTGCGCCTAGGAGCCGAACATACCAGCTGCTTTGAGTAGCCGCCAGAGCCAGGGCAGGAAGGGGACCTTAGCCCCGCTGCACTGCCGACCGGACATTTAGTGGCCCGGTCAGTGGTGCTGACCAGAGCCACCACGGTCCCTTTTCAACTGGGTGTCCCGGTTGAAAACCAGACACCTGGCAACCCCTATGTATCATGATCCTTTGGGGCCATCTTGTGTGGAGAGGCCTCCCTCTTAGCACTCGTGCTAGGAGTGTACCTTGCTCTGCTTCTTCGTGATTGCACAATGTGGTGGGTGAAAGGGTACAGCTCTCTGGGCTTTCCCTCAGTGCCACCACATAGACAGGGCAGAATTTAAATTAAGACAATACAACACAACATCGACTGTAGAAACTGCCCTGTTGATGCTTTTAAATACAGAAGTATAACTAATTGCAGCACGCTGCTGGAGTTAAAGCCAGGACTGAAGCCTTGGATAAACCAACCGTTAACACCATTTCACCAATCAGGTGTCAGCAACTCATTTATCTGACCTGGTGTTGACCCAAGGTTAGCTGTATGGGTAGGCAAGGTCAACTATGCCTCTCCTTACACCTGTTAAGCTAAAGCAGTTGATGAAATGATGCTATTTCTCAGCCCAGAGAAGGCAAGAAGAGGCATGTGTCTATTCCTGGGTCAGGAAAAAAGGAATCCTCGCACTCTTGCAACACTCCTGGACCATAATGGGAGTTTCCCCCCAAGAAAAGGCCAAGGAAGGACTGAAGAATTCAATCTTCTGCTCTTTCAAGATGTAGGTTTTGCCATTGTGCAATCAACTGGAGGAGTTTTATGGCTCTGCATGTGGTGATTATCCATATAGAAGGATTAAAATGTGAGAGAGGGGAGTTGCCCAAATCAGTCTTTGTGACAGATTCCCCTGTTCTGGAGAACAGTATTGATATAGAGAGTGACTATCTGTGATGTACGCGGTGAGTATGTTTGTAATTCATTACCTGGGCAAACAGATAACAAGCAAGAAGTTATAGCTCAGAAAAATAAGCCACACTATGGCCAGCATACTGAATCTATGACCAATATAGCGCACTGATCTGTGGCTGATATATTGCATTCTCTTTCTGGAGGTATAGTACCTCTGAAAGTTCTTACAGTCAATGACAGCTTAAGTCACATAACCTTCAAGCAGTGAAAGTTTGGGAAAATGCCATGCCTATTTAAATAATCAAACAATCATTCCTTACAGTATTTTACAGGGCTAAGCCATGAAAGTTTAGAAATGAAAAGATTATGAGTTAAGCTTCAGCTAAATGAGGGCAGTTCCTCTTATATCCAAGTACCACTAACAACTAGAGCCTGTCAATACTTCTAAATTCTTAGATTCCTAAATCACTTTATGCAAGACTTCCAACAAAATTACAATTTCACACTCAGCAAATAAAAAGGGAGAGATTGAAACAAGTGTGATTTTCATTACAAGAGACTTGCACGGATATACATATTTTTGCTGAAACTTACTTTATCCATCTCACCAGGTGATATTGTAGATAAGCAACCTTTACCAGTAGGACAGCTCCCTTATTTTATATTTTTATATATATTTATAAATATATATATATATATAAAAGCAAGACTAATGTGATTAGAAATATGTGAACCACAGATTTTTTCCAGCAATGAGAACCTCTTCCAAGTTGTGCCCTTCGAGAAGTTGTATAGAAATAGAGGAGCCCTGCACTGAGCCAGCTTGCTGGGACCTCCCTCGCTGAAATGAAATCTTACTTCCTGCCTCCACCATACGGCAGGTTGATTTGTATTCCATGTCAGCAGGCCCACATGTTCACCTTCAAAGGAGTTACAATTTACCATCTCTGGGCTTTTACAAAAATCAATAATATTCCACCTCCTCTTCAAAGCTAACAGCAGCAACAACATATCTTTTAAAAATACTTGTTCTTAGAAATGGTCAGCCAAGAAGTTGTAAAGACTCATTCCCTAATTGTACCATATTTTTTTTCAAATACAGGTTGTAATGGGGAACAATGGGAAAGAAGAGGACTTCTGTTAAAATATAACTGACTTCAGTATGGAGGAAAGAAACAATTAGCCCTCCAAATGTGTTTCACTCACTTTAAGAATTCCATTCCCTGAACATGTATTTCAGCATACTCTGTCCTACTCCAATTCCATTTAAAAACAGGCCTTTTATAAATTAAGGTCCCAATCTTCCAATTCAGACTATGCAGCATTTCAGTAGGTCTTCTTATGTACCTAAGTTCTACTCAACATGAGGGGTGCAGAATTGCAACCCAAGAAGAAATTGGTGCATTTGAAAAGGCATCACTGTATTTATTATTATTAATTATTATTATTATTATTCAGGAGATGTTTATAATCCAATCTAGTAGCTAGCTAGTAGATTAATTTTCCTATACTAACTAAGGAATGTTTGTGAGTCTCAATTTGCAGTGCTGCACAAACACAAATCATTAGTTAAAACATTATTAAACATCAATATGAAACAATTTCTCTCTCTCTCCATTTGCTAGACATTTTTGGATGAGGAGGGAGAAAAAAATAAATAAATCTTTGGCTCGGAGACACAAGACTCCCAAAGTGGCAAAAAGAATCCTTATGACATTCTAAGAAAAATCTTAGGAATTTTTTTCCTGTTTGGATTAGGGAAAGCAATGCTACTCCATCAACAGCATAGTGCTGAACCTGGGATTAAGTAAAACATACCCAAGTAGCTAATTAGTAGGTTCAGTCCAGAGGATTTACCTAGAGAGCATAAAAGATCTCTAAATGGAAGACATGCACAAAACAGGCCACATTGTGGCTACGCTGACTTCAGATTTTAAAGGGGCAGAGTGTGAAAGTAAAAATACCTCTTTGCATTAATGACTATTATAGATAGCTCCATTGGAACCTGCCACTGTGATTGAAAAGCCTGATGCAGGGAAAGAAATTCCTACAGACATTAACCAAAAGAGAGGGTCAGAGTATCCAGTAAAGTAGATTTAGCTACTAAAAAGGCATCTATTCAAGCTAAATGTGGCTGTGGCAAAATCTGTTACTTCAACTACTGAGTGTTGCATTATGCTGAAGAAGGGACAGTTGAAGAAGCAGGGAGCACAGCTAATAAGAAAAAAAAAATCTAATTAAATCATCCAAATACAGTCTCTTCCCTAGATTGTGAGTTTCTCAGGGCAGGGTCCATCTCTTTGCTGCATGTTTTGCAGTGCTACCACAATCCAAGTGACAGGAATAATACAGGGCTCTCTATAGCTGAGAACAGCCAGAATGAGGGGCCTGAGGTAAAGATTTAAAAGAAATACTAAAAGAGGAAAATGGATGGATCAACAAACTCTTCTTAACATGCTCACTTTCAAAGTTCAGGGTGACCGTCTCTGCTACACTCAGAGGTGCAGCACAGAAATCACAGCCCAGTGGGAAGGGGGACAGTGATGGCTTTAAGTCTCCTTTGCTCCCTTGTAATCTGGAGCTGCTCCAGAAGCTAGAGCATAATGGGCCAACAGCACTGTCTAGAAACTCCATAGTGGTGCAGTCCAAACCCTGAGACACCACCTACACCAGATCGTATGAGCGGTACCTCAGAAGCAGCCTGCTGGTCTCCACAGTCTCTGCAACCTGAGAAATCCTCCTGCAGCCAGATACAAGGCTTTTTAAGCCTCTCCAGCCCTTTTACCCAGCAGTCAGCAGGGAGGATCTTGCCCTGATAGTGCACATATTTCTCTGCGCTTGAGTTCTCTTTGTTCCACTGATGTCTTCACCGCCTTTTTGACAAAGTTAATAAAGCATAACATGAACTAGCCTCCTCTCAGCCCACAAAGAAATATTTGAAGAATACATTTCTATACACACCATAAATATTTATACAGCGATAATCACAGATCTTGCCTGAGGGGGGGACCCAACCATTGCTTACACGAAGATGAATAAATAAATAATTTCAACCTCAAAGTTCAAAACAAAAATGTCTCTAGAAGAGAGGGGTTCTAACCCCCCTCACCTCTGGACCATCTTCCTACTAGGGATGGCAAGCCACTAGTAAGCTGCTGATGCTTTTATATCCCAGGGTGTTCAGTTCTAGTCCCAGCTGGGCAAATTCCTAGCACAGTTATCCTCTGCTATTGCCCACCCCAACTGCTGAGGATGTCCATAGGAAGAGAATGCATTATGACTATTCAGAGAATCTCGAGTAGGATATGTAAGAACCCTGGGCAAGATGCTAATCTGATGTAAAATTGTTTAGCTCCATTTACTTAAATGGCGCGACACTCTGTTTACACCAGTTGAGGACATAGCCCCCAAATGTAAGAAAGCAGAAGAGAAGATACAGAAGTTAAAAACAGTCCCCTCTGTTTGTACTAACTAAGGAGGTAACTGGGAAATATTGGTGTTAGGATTTTATCAGTCACATATACCTATAGTGGATGAAGAGAGGAAGGTCAACAGGGTTTAAGGACAGTTAAAACCTGTTGATATTTCCTGGGTTAAAGATGTTTCCCTTTCCAAAATGCAGGACATGTAATAACTATAACATGGATTTGACTTCTTACCTTCTGCAAAAGGTTCCCACTCATAAAATCGACCCATAAATGGTTTGTTGTTGTATGATGCACACTGTACCTCTCTGATATTTCTGCTGCTTTCAGGACACATCTATTGCAATAAAGAACAGGGGTGTTATATTATGATTTCCAGTGAGATCATTATCACTTTCTTCTTTATTAATTACTTTAAAAAGACTAATAAAGATGTCCCAAGCTCAAATCCAAAAAGCTACATTACAGGAGGCATCTTTTCTGCAACATAGTAGAGGAATTGTAGCTGTCCTGTGCAGTCAAAACCCCTGTTATCCAGTAGAAGTCTTGCCATGAGGGGGACCTCACCAGCAAAAGTCACTAGTGAATATGCCTCTGAGCAATCACCATGTGGATTGCCTGGCCCTTCCCATATTCCATAGACAGAAGCAGGCAGTGAACATATTGGGGCTAAGCATGCTAATTGCCTCAGCTACTTTGTGCAGCATCTGGAATAGCATTATTGCAGTGACTTATGTACTTGCTCACCAAAAGTCATGCAAGAGATCCTGCTACAGGGGATCATGAGTAATGGCTTGGTAGGATCAGGTCCCATGTTGAGCTGGGTGAATATTGCTGGGGGGTTTTGGTTAATAGGCAGTTCTGAATTTAAAAAAAAAAAAAAAAAAAAAGTCAGGTCCAACTGAATCAAAAAATCGAAAAACAAAATTACTGAATAAAAACAAAACAAAACAAAAAAACACACAACCCTGTTTAGTTCGCCACACACCATCAAAGTCCCCCCAAAATTTGGGGCTAAAACTATTTCACGAATTCGTGTCAAATCTGTGAATAATTTTGGGTTGACCAAAAAATGGATTTTTTGGCAAATAAGCTATTTGTCAGAAGAATTTCACCCAGCTCTGGCCCAACGTTGATATTACAGTGATGAGCACCATAGAAATGTAAGAACAAGAAACAAATGAGTATATTCATGCCATGGTCATAACTAAAATTGTAATTATTATTTACAATAACATTAAAATCTGAAGTATCCAAGGAAAGAAAACATTCGTGAGCTTGTGGAGTTAATGGGGTAATAGTTGTCCAAAATAAGCAACTTTGTTACTGAACTGTCATTTTTTCAATCAAATGATATTTCAAGAGAAATACAATAAACCAAATTTAGTCATTTCCCTTTCACAATAGCTTTGAATTATTCTATTTACTGGGCTTAGATTCAACACAGTTGAAACTCAAACACTTGCATGAAATGTTAAAAGCTGGCCACAGTTATTTCCTAGCTTATATTTAAAACTCATTCCATTTTACAGTTTGTTTATTTTTTCTTCCTATCTACATACAATTCTATTATTTCCATTATTGGGTATTTCAATTTGTGTCTTAGTCCCAGCTGCAATATTCTTGAAACTAAACAACAACAATGTCCAAGACCAAAAATGCATGTGTGTGTACATACAAAGACTATGGGGTGTCACACAAAGAACCAGACCAGCATGTCAAGTTCTTCAACTGAGAAGCGATAGATTTCAAAAGAATGGGCCCAGAATTTTACAAAAGCAATAAGTACAATTGATTAACTAATTCATCTGTATCTACTTTATTTTGGAAAAAAACAGTGAGAAGAGAGATATTGCTGAAATTATGTGTTGGTTTTCATATATTTATGTCAGGTGAAGGAGCAGTTTTCTTTATAGTGGAAGACAGCGTACCAAAAGTCAAACATAGGAGCTGGCTGGTCATTATCCATCCTCTGTCTACAGAGATGTATCTGTTTGGCTGATGGAGGCACTGAAGCCTAAGTCTCTCCCAGTTGGCAATATATTGTGCCAAAGCCACATCCACATGTCACAAATTGTTTTTTTAAATGTCACTGATTTTTTTAAATTATTATTATTTTGGCACACGTCTTCTGACAGTCTGAGGTTTTGTATTTGCTTGTTCTTCCTTCTGCAGTCTTGAGCTAATGCTCTTGCCTATCTGTACTGTATTTCTGGCACATAAATCATTTCCTGTACACCCTGTCCCTACTAACTGCAGACCATACATGAGTAAAAAGATCAAAATATTCACTGTTGGGTTGCCGAAAAGTAGTCTTTTTTTTTGTATTTTATATCACTGGATTTTCTATTTTAAAGTTATGGAAGAGTCACCCAGAGGAAATGGTGAAAACCCCAGCTCAAGTCATTAAAAGTTGGACAGGACAAAGCTAGGAAAATACATTGTTCAAAACAATCCTGCACTAGCTGAGAAATGCACTGCCTTAATGAGGTCTTGGCTACTTCTAAAAGTTACAGTGTGATGGTAGGAAAAAGCCCATTTGCTAGTCTGTCTCTTTTGAATCATTGTGAACTATCATATGTACATAAGAGTTGGTAAGAGACAACAGGTCTGAACTGATTCTTTGCCTTTTTGGGGGGGGGGGGGATTTATTTCTTTATATAGATTAAGGTCACAAGCATTTAAACACATTCTGCTGATGTGCTAATAATCTATAATACATACTGCTTAGGTCTATAATAGTCTGATAACACTTATGACTCATTTAACCTTTATAAACCATTTATATATGAATATATTATAAATATAATATAAAACATGACCCATGCAATATTTTTGTGCAGCCTGCCTGAAAAATAGATCTTTTGAGTGTTCTGATGGAGGGACTGAAAGTTGTGTAAGCTCCCTGTGTCCTCTTAAGCCCAGTTGTAACCTTTGCAGTATGCTACAGTATGTCACTACAAAAAATATAAGCAAACAAAAAAATGAATCGTGATGCTACAAAACCAAGTGCAAGATTTTGCAGGTGCCACAAAACCCCATCAATTCCCTTGGTTTATTCCTTTTTTTCCATCAGAGGCTACAATCAGTTTTTAAGCTTCCCATTCCCTACCCCCATTTATCACACACCCTTATTATTGCCTCAAGAAAAGCTTTAAGAACAGCATGAGCATCTGAGTTTCAAAAGGAGAGACTCCAAGGAAGAGGTCACATTCACCACTGCCACATCTTTTAGCTTCTTACAAAATTCCCCAGCAACTCTCACATATCTAGTAGTTTTTAATCACATCTCCCACCAAGATATCAGAGTGTCTGCTAATGATAGATGCCCTGTGCTTACTGATCCTTCCAATAATGCTATGCATAGGTTCATTGCAAATGTGTTGCTTTAAATATATTTTAAAAGCATGTTCAAGGAGGAAGGATGGTCTTGGAGTGGGACTCAGGAGACCTGGGTTCATGTCCCACCTCTGCCACAGACTTCTCATGGGACTTTGGGCAAGGTACTTAATCTCCTTGTGTCTTTGCACTGAAGTTCCCCATTTATCATTATTATTGGGTTCAGGGGCGGCTCCAGACACCAGCGCAGCAAGCGCGTGCCTGGGGCGGCAAGCCGCGGGGGGCATCCTGCCGGTCGCTGGGAGGGCAGCAGTCAGGCGACCTTCGGCGGCGTGCCTGCGGGAGGTCCGCCGGTCCCGCGGTTTCGGCAGCAATTTGGTGGCGGGTACGCCAAAGGCGCGGTACCGGCAGATCACCCACAGAAACGCCGCAGAATCCGCGTGTCCGCGGACCACCCGCAGGCATGCCGCCGAAGGCCGCCTGACTGCCTGCTTGGGGCGGCAAAAAACATATCCCTGATTGGGATAATAGTAACTCCTTACCAAATACGGATGCTATGAGTAGGGATTGGGGACAATTTTCAAAATGCAATTTTTTATCAAAATCGCAACTTTTGATTTAAAAAACAGATCCAGAATTTCAAGCATTTTTTTTGAAAAACTTACATCTTGTATTTTGTTCAGCAACAGAGCTGGTTAGAAATATGTATGAAAAAATAGGGTGACATTTTTGAGAAAGTTTTTGTAGAACACACACACACACGCACACACACACACACACAATCTCTCTGAACCAGCTCCAATTGTGAAGACACACATTTAGGACCAGAGCTCATGTGAAGCAATATTTATTTACACCTACTAAGTTAAGATTTCAGGTACAACTGTGATAGGGCCCATAGAAATTAACTAGATAAATCAATCTCATATTGGTAGAACATTTAACTATCTAACATGTTGAAGGAAAACAAAAACTAGAACCCATAATTGTGTAAGTTTTTAAAGTCACCTCCTTTTCATAATACACTGGAAGAGAAAGAAAGTGTCAAGCCAGCAACAAATTATTTTACTCAACTATCAGGCTAGCTAGCTTAAAGTTTTAAAAATTTTCTATAAAGGTAGATTTTCAAAAATTTCACTGCTTCAACCTGATAGATTCGTAACAGATACCTTTTCAGCAAAAAGTGCTTGCCCATCAGTGAGAAACAGAGGAAACAGGATGATAACCTGCCACTTATAGTCCTGAACCTTAGTGCAAGGGCAAAATTTACAACTCAATATACATGATTTTAACTACTTAGCTAGAGTACCTCTAAGCTCCAGTTAAGAACCACAACCCCTTTAACATGAGACTATAACCCTCAGTGTTTTTGACCAGCCAGCAAGTGGTGGAAAGGACAGCAGCACTACAGAAACTGAGGCTCAGAGAGTGTAAGGGCAAAAATTTCAAAACAAGTCACCAATTTTTGTTGCCCAAATTTGGGTAACTAAGGCCTGATTTCCAGAAGCACAGAACCCCTGTGGCTGTCTCAAATAGAGCATCCAAAATCAACAGACACTTCTGAATGTTTTACCCTATTTCTGCCTCAGTTTCCTCATCTGCACGATGTGAATATTAAAGATTACCTAGTTCAGGAAAGCACTTTGAGATCTAGGATTGTGATGCACTTTATTATATATGTCACATATTGTTAGTGTTGCCTCAAAATCAGCATCAATGGGGAGCAGTTACCACATGTAACATTTAAAAACTAAATCTCCTCATTTATTCCTCACCTTTCAAAAATATTTGAAACAGGGGTTTTAAATTTTTCTTGAAATCTTAATCAGTTTAAATAGCTTTTGGCTAAATACCAGAAAATTACTATCACTTTCCCAAACTGGACACATGCCCGCAATTAGCAAAACTGTTCCAAAGCTGCACTAGGATAATTCACTTTTGGAAATGCACAAAGGGGTTGTTCTAACTCTGAAATCACCCCTAAAAGCAATTAAACCA